AGCCAAGCGCACAAAATCCCCGCACTCCGATTGACACCACCAAAGCAGTGAAAGAGCACGCGCATGGATTTGTCCCCGGCGACCGCCAGCATGGACTGTTTCCATAACCGGTTGCAGACGATTTTCCACTGTCGCAAACAGGAAGCCACCAAGTCCGGAATCTGCTCAAGCCAACGCCTTGCCGGCTTCAATGTCGTGTCCTCCAAGTGACACTGGATGCGAAAGACATCTTGTTCTTGAAAGTATTTCGTCCAGTCGGTCGGTGCGCCTGCGATCTTCATCTCCTGCGCGCGCATGGTGACCACCACAGTGACCTTCAAAGACGTGGTCTCCACAATGTCTTCCAAGCTACACGCGGCTTTCAAACTTCCAAGCAACAGCACTGCTCGATCCGTAGGCTTGTAAATGACAGCAGCATCCAAAGGCCACGCTTTTATGGACCTAAAGCTGTAGTCGTGTTGGTCTGTGACATAATCCAAAGCAGTCCACCGGTTCTTATCAGCATAAGCGTCTCTGATATCCTGCTCTCGCTGTGTTCTCCACTCGAGAGCTCATCACGCTCTGTTTCCTCCAAACTTCCACGCAGCCATTCCGCTCCCTGGTTAGCGGCATTGTTGCGCAACTCCTCCCATCGAGCTTCTGCTACCGACCTTGCAGACGAGCTCGCCTGAAAGAATGCATCGGCTTACAAAGGAAAACACAGGCCCCATGAGCAAGAACAGCAACTTCCCACATCAGGCCAGCGTTACTCAACACACCACATACCCTGTAACTTTTTCAGCGCATACCTATCTATACCCAAAACACAGCGATTGGGCCTGCTCTGTTGGCGCCAAGGCTTCCATCACCGCAGAGCGCAGTTGCGCAACCGGCAGCCATCTGTCGCCTATCGTCGCTCTGATGCCTCCAGCACCTGCCAAGCTGCGCAGCTCATCACGCGCTGTTTCCTCCAAACTTCCACGCAGCCATTCCGCTCCCTGTTTAGCGGCATTGTTGCGCAACTCCTCCCATCGAGCTTCTGCTACCGACCTTGAAGACGAGCTCGCCTGAAAGAATGCATCGGCTTACAAAGGAAAACACAAGCCCCATGAGCAAGAACAGCAACTTCCCACATCACGTCAGCGTTACTCAACACAACACATACCCTGTAACTTTTTCAGCGCATACCTATCTATACCCAAAACACAGCGATTGGGCCTGCTCTGTTGGCACCAAGGCTTCCATCACCGCAGAGCGCAGTTGCGCAACCGGCAGCCATCTGTCGCCGATCGTCGCTCTGATGCCTCCGGCAACAGCTACACTGCGCAGCTCTACCGCTCCCAACTCTTGCAAACGTCCACGAAGCCATTCCGCTCCCTCGTTCACGGCATTGTTCCGGAACTCCTCCCATCGAGCTTCCGCTGCAGACCTTGAAGACGAGCTCGCCTGCAACAAGGCATACGCTCGCAAAAGAAAACACAAGTCCCATCAGCAAGAAAAAGTCACTTCCAACCTCACGCCGGCATTACTTAACAGAACATTTACCCTGTAACTTTTTCAGCGCATACCTATGTATACCCAAAACGCAGCGATTGGGCCTGCTCTGTTGGCGCCAGAGCTTCCATCAACGCAGAGCGCAGTTGCGCAACCGGCAGCCATCTGTCGCCTATCCTCCCTCTGATACCTCCGGTAACAGCCAAGCTGCGCAGCTCATCCCGTCCCAACTCTTGCAAACGTCCACGAAGCCATTCCGCTCCCTCGTTCACGGCATTGTTCCGGAACTCCTCCCATCGAGCTTCCGCTGCAGACCTTGAAGACGAGCTCGCCTGCAACAAGGCATAGGCTCGCAAAAGAAAACATAAGTCCCATCAGCAAGAAAAGGTCACTTCCAACCTCGCGCCGGCGTTATTCAACAGAACATATACCCTGTAACTTTTTCAGCACATACCTACTATCTAACGCAGCGCGCAGTTGCGCAACCGGCAGCCATCTGTCGCCTATCCTCGCTCTGATGCCTCCGGTAACAGCCAAGCTGCGCAGCTCATCCCGTCCCAACTCTTGCAAACGTTGACGAAGCCATTCCGCTCCCTGGTTCATGGCATTGTTGCGGAACTCTTCCCATCGCAGGCCCTGTGACGCGCGTGGTGACTGGTCCATTATCACGGACAGTCCCTTCCAATAATAGAACAGTCACCGCGCTACTATGACGCGTGTGCCGGGCGTGCGACTCGAGCCAAAACCTTATTCCCCACGCATGTTCTGCTCGCAACCTGTGACCATTCAAACTTACAATGCCTTCACTAGCTCCATGCAAACATCCAAGGTCCAGACACTCCAACCACGGAGCTCATCCTCCATCCATCCTCCACCGACGCCTAAAGGCATTGTTTGCGCAATCACTGTTCAATGTCGTGCAAAACAGATATCCTCCAAATTCTGCATGGCTTTATGGAATGTCTTGCCTTGCAGCACTGACTCCAAGTAAGGCCCCAACCACAACCGTCACGTCATCGCTCGACGCAGCTCCAGGCTCAAACTCTTCAATCGCTCCACAGAACACCGTGAAACAACCCCTCGAACATGCGAGACATGTAATTGTCCAGCACTGTCGAAAAGATGTATAGAAAGAGAGAAAGAGAGGGTGGATGTGAAGGAGTGACAGTGTGATGTGCAGGTGCGATATAGATCTGTAGCTGTATGGAGGTGGAGAGGTAGATCTGTGGATGTGAGCGTGCGAAGATGTAAATGCACAGAGACGAGAGAAAAGCTGCGTAGAAAGAAAAGACAGGACAGATGTGAAGGAGCGACAGTGTGGATGTACAGATGTGATATAGATGCGCAGATGTGTGGGTGTAGTGAGGTGGAGAGGTAGATCTGCGGATGCGAGCGTGTGAAGATGTAAATGTAGAGAGGTGAGGGGGCGTAGACGTAGATGCGTCGATGCAACGGCAGTGCAACGTCAACCTTAGTTGTGCAAGTACAACGCTGAAGAGGTTCAAATAGAACTGAAGAACGTACATTCCACACAGAAGTTTCCACGAACAGGGCGACCTGAGAGTAAACGACGTCACGCTCATGACAAGCGACTCGTGTATTCCAAGCGAACATCGTTTGTCATGAAGGTGAAGTACACACATACTTACGTCACGATGACTCTTTTGTGGCAGCCACTTATGAGTAAGCAAAGCAGCTAAATTTTGTCAACTTCTCAAGAGAGCCGGGTGGCGCGAGAGATGATTCAGCCGCGACAGACGACCCATCCGCGTACTAAAGTTGTACTACGAAGTCGCCAGTTCTCCTCGTCCAGCTCGCCAGATACTCCGTGTACTAAAGTTGTACTACGAAGTCGCCAGTTCTCAGCTTCTAGCTGCACAGATTGCTCCGCGTGCTAAAGTTGTACTAGAAAGTCGCCAGTTCTCATCTTCCAGCTCCACAGCTTGCTCCGCGTACTAAAGTTGTACTACTTAAGTCGCCAGTTCTCATCTTCTAGCTCCCAAGATACTCCGCGTACTACAAAGTCGCCGGTTCTCATCTTCCAGCTCCACAGATACTCCGCGTACTAAAGTTGTACTAGAAAGTCACCAGTTCTCATCTTCCAGCAAAGTCGCCAGTTCTAACCTTCCAGCTCCACAGATTGCTCCGCGCACTAAGGTTGTACTAGAAAGTCGCCACTTCTCATCACCGGATAGACACAAATCGCACTCTCACCTGCATTTCGCGCTCTCGACGCGCACGATCTCCGCAGAGGGTTGCGCCGGACAAATCCAAATCGCACTC